CCAATGTAAAGTCAATTAAGATCCTTTCTCGTGGTGGACACATGGATTCCCTGATTCAACAACGTCCTGTATACACGCAAAAATGCAAAAGTGTTCTTGATATTAAATGGCAGATATATTTCTCTGTTATAATTTCCCACCAATAATAATAATAATAATAATAATATTAATAACATGATAGTTCGGCTGTACTACACCGCGTTCCAAATTATTATGCAAATTATATTTTTCTCTGATTTTCCTAAATAGTCGATGCAAATGACAGTCAACATAATTTTCAAGTCATCAACTGTTTAAGTTTAATTCAAATGTTATTGAACAAACTTCCCAATGAAAACAGTATTTTTTTCAAAAATAAAAAACTTAAAATGCACTGTTCCAAATTATTATGCACAACAGAGTTTCAATACATTTTCTAGGTTGTAAAGAACTGAAAATAGTCATTTGTTGAATTTGCAGCATTAGGAGGTCATATTTACTGAAATCAAAAGCTATTTCAATCAAAAACATCTTAACAGGTCAAGTTACATTTTAACAAAGGACCCCTTATTTGATAGCAGCTTCACAATTCTTGCATCCATTGAACTTGTGAGTTTTTGGAGAGTTTCTGCTTGAATTTCTTTGCAGGATGTCAGAATAGCCTCCCAGAGCTGCTGTTTGGATGTGAACTGCCTCCCACCCTCATAGATCTTTTGCTTGAGGATGCTCCAAAGGTTCTCAATAGGGTTGAGGTCAGGGGAGGATGGAGGCCACACCATGAGTTTCTCTCCTTTTATGCCCATAGCAGCCAATGATGCAGAGGTATTCCTTGCAGCATGAGATGGTGCATTGTCGTGCATGAAGATGATTTTGTTTCGGAAAGCACGGTTCTTCTTTTTGTACCATGGAAGAAAGTGGTCAGTCAGAAACTCCACATACTTTGCAGAGGTCATTTTCACACCTTCAGGGACCCTAAAGGGGCCGACCAGCTCTCTCCCCATGATTCCGGCCCAAAACATGACTCCGCCACCTCCTTGCTGACGTCGCAGCCTTGTTGGGACATGGTGGCCATCCACCAACCATCCACTACTCCATCCATCTGGACCATCCAGGGTTGCACGGCACTCATCAGTGAACAAGACTGTTTGAAAATTAGTCTTCATGTATTTCTGGGCCCACTGCAGCCGTTTCTGCTTGTGAGCATTGGTTAGAGGTGGCCGAATAGAAGGTTTATGCATAACTGCAAGCCTCTGGAGGATCCTACACCTTGATGTTCGCGGGACTCCAGAGGCACCAGCAGCTTCAAATACCTGTTTGCTGCTTTGTAATGGCATTTTAGCAGCTGCTCTCTTAATCCGATGTATTTGTCTGGCAGAAACCTTCCTCATTGTGCCTTTATCTGCACGAACCCGTGTGTGCTCTGAATCAGCCACAAATCTCTTAATAGTACGATGATCACGCTTAAGTTTTCGTGAAATATCTAAGGTTTTCATACCTTGTCCAAGGCATTCAACTATTTCACGCTTTTCAGCAGCAGAGAGATCCTTTTTCTTTCCCATATTGCTTGAAAATGGTGGTCTGCTAAATAATGTGGAACATCCTTCTTCAGTAGTTTTTCCTTTAATTGGGCTCACCTGGCCAACTAATTATCACAGGTGTCTGAGATTGATTTGAGTGATCCAAAGAGCCCTGGGACACAATACCATCCCTGAGTTTAATTGAAAAACAAAAAATTTAATCTTTATGACACTTAAATACAATTTGCATAATAATTTGGAACGCGGTGTAGATATTTGATATATTCAGTGGATTTACTTTTTTACGACACTATTTGACAACTCTACAACTAGAGTCCCAAAAACGCTGTTTCTATAGAACTTGCTAAAATATCTGAAATTAACCATCATTCCTAATTTTTCTTAACATAGTTCATCTAAGTGCAGTGGGTTTACTAGTTCGGCTTTACTAGATATTAGATATATTCAGTAAATATCTTTTTACAACCCTATTTAGAACCCTACTTTGCAAATCAGAAGAACTACAACTATGTTGTGTATCAAGCTGCATGGCGCAGTCCTAGGGAATTGTAGTGTTTTGAAAAATATGTGTTTTTCCTAGATTTGGAAGTTGTAAATACTGAATTGAGAGTACACTGTGGACTTTAAGGGGATGGTAAACACCCTTGTGTAATCAGATTTTAAATATCTAATTTCTAAATGGGTGAAAATTAATTTTATCCATATTTTACCCATATCTGACAGCACCCCCAGTTCTTGACTACACTCACATGATAGTTGAGGTCAAGAGCTATCTAAAACAGTTGGTCCCATGTCTGTACCCCCTTTTGTTGCTGAGTTATATGCCTTCAAACATGCACTGAGGTCAAGGTTCAAAGGTCAATGGCTGAAAGCAGGAGCCATGTAGAATCTTCATACTGACATATGTTACTTTCCAGGTTGAGACCTTTCCAACAATGTATTTGGTTTAGCTCTATGACAAAGTTTTGATTTTTTCATTTTTTTGGACACAAGCCATGCCAGGTGTAATTTCAGAGAGCACTTTGAAGGCCCCGTGTATAAAATGAGTTTTGTTTGTTTCTTTGCTTGTTTTTATCTTTTTTACTGTAGATAGTTACTAAAATGAGTCATCCTCAGACAATACAATACTACTAAAAAGTAAAACCAATAATAACAATAATGAAATAAGCAAAAATAATATTAAAATCATATTGGCAGACTCCAACATGTTTCCCAGGCCCAGTGTATAAAATGATTTTCTTGTTTCTTTGCTTGTTTTTTTTTTCTTTTTTATTGTAGATAGTTTTTAAAATGAGTCATCAATACTATAATCAATACTACTAAAAAGTAAACCAATAATAACAATAATGAAATAAGCAAAAATAATATTAAAATTATATTACTGGTTCTGTGGCGCTGGTTCTGTGGCGCTGGCTTGGGCTCCACTCTCCCCTGGTGGAGTGGAGGATGGCTGGGTTGCCGCCTCCCGATGCGGACGGCTCCATGTGATGGTGTTTTCTCTCTGGTTCTTCCGTGCTCAGTCTTATTTTTCTCTTCTTATTTATTTATTTATTAGTGGCTTTTGGATTCGGTTACAGCAGACGGATGGCAATTTGAAATGGAATGAAGCCCACAGACGCCAGACAGTAGCTACAAAACAGTAGTGGAACGCGCCCCATCTGCCCACAGCACAATGCTCTTAAAGCCCTACGCTATCAAAAGCTGGCAAAATACATTTATTTTATTTTATGTTATGGCCTTGACATTAACCTGTCATATTGTTGAGTTATCAAGGACACTTCCGTGTTTTTGTGTGTATACAGGAATGTTAAAGATATCATTGAGGAAAACGAGGTTGACGTGACATTGTTGAATCAGGGAATCCGTGTGGACACCACGAGAAAGGATCCTAATTGACTTTACATTAGCATTGTTTCCATGGTACCGGCACGTAATTTCAACCCATTACGTGCTGCCACCACAGAATGCGGTATTAAGAGGTCGTGGTCATTTCACATATTTCTGTGAGATCAGGTTGAATTGTGCTGAAGTGAAATAAAGAGCACTTCCTGGGTCAGAGTTCATCTCTTTGCCCTATTCCAGCAATTGAGGAACCTAAACCTTTCACAATGTATTTTTATAATAATAATAATAATAATAATAATAATAAAATTTTTTATTTGTAACGCACTTTATATTTAACAAAAAATCTCAAAGTGCTACAACAGCAAGAAAAGAAAAAATAAGTTAAAACAAGAGTTAAAAGCAGTTATCAAAGTAACACGAGCAAAAATTACAGATTAAAAGATTTTTTAAAAAGGTACGTTTTAAGGCCCTTTTTAAAACAATCAATTGACTGTGGAACCCTCATGTGTTCTGGGAGGGTGTTCCACAGTCAAGGAGCAGAGGAGCAAAAGGCTCAATCTCCCTGTTATAGTTCAATGAAGTTAAAAAAACAAAAAATCAAAACAGTTTTGATGTGTACTCAATGTTTCCTTTTTTTCATATGACAACCAAATGCTCAAACATCAAAAAGAAGTTATGTTAAACTGACATAAAATTCCTGTGAGACAAGGGTCATGTGACACATCTATTTAGTGTCTGGTGTACTCAAAACTTGTGTTACTGTATTGTACTAACCTAAAAGTTTTGAGTGCAAGCTGTTTCCAAATAAATTAATAAATTACTAAATAAATAAGTTGACTGAGTGAATAGGGGTTAACAGTGTACCTGTGTTTTTTTGTTCCAAAAATGTCTGACTTTATAAAAAAAAAGTATATGGTAAAACCCCAAAGTTTTCCCTTGGGGAAACTATTTGTTGTTGGAAGAAAAGGTAATAGTGGCTATGCTAGTAGCGATGCTAGTAGCTATGCTAGCATCCATATACTGTATAAATAATGGGCACAGTTTCCATGACATCACTCATTGGTTTGTGGACTCCCCTTTCGAAGCCTTGAGTTTAGAATTTAAGCCGTTGCCATCTTGCTGTTTTGAAGGTAGAAGTGACCATATTTGGGCAAGAGGGTGGCCCGCCCTTAATGTGTAACTTTAAGCGATAGATAGATAGATCCTTTGTTGTCATTGTGTGTTATACAATGAAACTTTGTTCAAGCAATCCAGTTAGTAGCATATGAATAATATGAATAAATTGTAAATAGGTGAGTTTTAGAAGGTTGTCGGACCAAGTATGAAGCGTGGGCTGGTAGCACTGTTGAGGTGCCCCTGAGCAAGGTACTGAACCCCCAGCTGCTCAGGGCACCTGTCCAAGGCAGCCCCCCTCCCCCCACACTCTGACACCTGTCCTGTTTGTGCTTGTGCATGTATTTGACAACGTAGAAAAAAAATAATACAGTACATCTCCTTTCTTATCTTATTAATTCATTCAACATTGGCTCTTTGTCTTCATCGGGGGACCTGTGTCCCAGTTTAAGAACCACTGCACTAACCAGTCCATTTCTTCAGTAGTAGCTTAAATGTTTCTCTGTCTTCCACCTTGTCTTGCAGGTCATCCTCATCCTGACCAAGTACTACCATGCTGACTCCACCAAGGTGCTGGAGAGCTCACTGTGGAGGTAGGCCAACCATTTACACCATGTTTGCTGTTGTTGGAAGTATTTATGTCATGTCTGTCCTCAGACTCATGCAAACCTTTCATCAGTAAGCAGCTTCCCTTAGCAGTGAGGTTATTGTAGGTCTCTGTTATCTCTCTGGGCTTCTACAAGGAGTGATAAAGAGTGCTAGGGCAGACAAAACATCAGCAGGCAGCTACAAGTAAAGTGGGGAACCAGAGAGTGTTGCTGCAAGGCCAGAGCAGGAATCTGTTTGGGCAGATAGCATATCAGTGTGGTGCAGGGCAGGACGGCAGGCACTGGCAGTGCCAGGGAAAGGGGTCAAGTCTGGCTGGCAGAGCCTTCTCTGTTTAACAAAGCTGTCTTTGCCAAAACACTTCATGCCTCCCTTGCTCGGAAAAGCACTCCACTTCCTCTCCACTTAACAGCAAGTGTATCTTGTGCTCTTACATACAGTATTCTCATTGAACATTCATTTTCTCTTTATTCTACATCCACTCCCTGACAGCTCCTGGAGTACTGCTTTGTGGTTGAGCTTGACCTTCTCTAGATAAGGGTGTGGAGGAAACTTTCCTAATAAAAACTTAAAAATAGACAAGACAGGGCTCATAACACTGGCTAAAATTAGCCTTCTGGAAGGCATTTGCACATAGCACAAATGTATCTGATGGTGGTACTTAATTCGTGCCATTCACCTCACTGAGCGCTCCATGACTTCAAAGCTTAAGCCTCTCATTAGCTCTGACTGCCTGTCTCCCTGTAGGACAGATATGAATAATGTACATATTTTTCTTCTTCCCCCGTTGATGTTTTAATTGTTGCAGTGTATGAATAATGCTGCAGATTCACCACTGGACAACCCTCCCCCCCAAAAAAACACCAAATGGTTGAATTGAATCTAAATTGGCAAAGACAGAAAAATCTGGCTGGCTGCTGTTGGCATCATTGTCCCAAAGCAGAAATTACCATGAAATTAGCATGTTTCCAAGAGGACCTCTGACCACATCTTGGTAGGTATTATGTGTGGGGTGTACCTCAGTACCTTGTAGCTGTCAGCTTGGCGTGGTGTGTGGACAGCCACAATCCACTGGCCTGTAGGCTTTGAAGTCCCAGGGCTGTAGGATCAAACAACGCAGATGGAGGAAGATTAATGAGTTTGCTGTCTTGCCCTGTCAGGTGGCATAGATCAACATGCCAGGTTTCCCACAGGGGACACTTAACAGCACAGAGAAGGGAAAAGTTTTTCAGGGCAGCCGAGGTAATGAACTTGGCCCTCTTAGATCAGCAGTGGTCTAAAGAGGCTTGTTGTATGTCAATGAGTAAAGCTCACAATCTGTCCTCACAATTGAGAAACAATAACTGTTACTAATCCAATCCCCTGGGTATCAGCCAGTTAGTGTCTCTCTTGCCTCTGTGTGCTAAACCACTGTAAACATTTATTTTTGATGGAGTTTCAGTGTTTGACGATTGTCTTTTCCTTGCAAAAAGGAATTCAAACCAGTGATCACTGAGGGGTAGAGGTTTTGTATGTCCAGCACTTCTTTGGCTTGTATGTTGATAAGTAAGAGTTCCTACATGCAACAGTCATGTTGGTTATAGCTGCTCCTGCTCTATGTACGTATATACCCTTATTACATGAAAATACCACAATTTTTTGTAATACTAAAAAAAGTTGGAAACTTGGGAGACTTCACCAGACCATGACAGTATAGTTCATTTAGTCACACAATAACAACTAGGGTTGAGCCAAATACTCGGAAAAAACAAGTCTCCAATACAGATAATGTACTTTTTAGAAGTGTGAGTTTCAACCAAATAACATGTATCAATATTTGCACTTTTGATGAAGGAATATCTTTATTTGGGTAGCAGTGGTCAAAAATTATTTGGGGCCTTATTTACAACAATTGCATATGCACAACAAGGGCTAGTAATGTGCATACTCCACTTTAAGCATGAAAAGGGATTTATTAAGAAAAACTTAACCAGGACATGTATGTAAATTTAGGGAAACTCTGACTACCACATACCCACATTTTGGAGATGGGAAATTGGTTACACAGATGGTGAGGTGGTGAATTAGTCAGATGGAAAATTAGATTCACTTCATATTACAGTTTTGTTATAGATCCACTTCATAAACATTCAAATGCAGCAGTGTTATTTGTGTTTGTGACAGGAGCCATAACTTTTCCATAAGCACCTTTTGATTGTAATATGTCACCTTAAATTTAAAATCAAATCCTGCTCAGTATTTTATTAGAGCTGTCTCACCATCACATTGCCCACCACCAGAGTGCAGAGGAGAGGGTTGGGGATGGACTGTATGCTGCTGACACTCATGGTCAGCAGCATAAAACACAGCTGAATGATACCAGGCTGTGGCAGGTGACAGGAGACAGGAAAGTATGGCTTTCCTTTACCTGATAATAAGTGTGAATATACTGAGTCATTTTCACCTCAACCATGTTAAGCAGGCTAACTGATGAAATTAACATCCTTGGTTGTAGAAATCTAAGAATACATCAAACAGCATTAAATAATTGCAGTAATGTGCGTCAACATAGTCAACAGTTTAGTTTTCAGATAGCTTTGTGTGTAAAATGGCTGCAGGGAACTTGAGTGCACGGTCAGGTGCACAGAGCGCACTGGAGACACTGTGGTACTCTTATTTCTCACTCAGCACATCTTCACCACTTGCACATATGGATTGTGTAAATTCAGCATCATTAGATATCAGGGTACTTTTTTTTTGTTTTTTTTAGATCTACCCTTTTTTATCAAAGAAAAAGTCCTGTTTGATGAAGTCACTGCATTAAAAGCAGCAACATGTATCCACTTGCTGCCTTTTCTTTAGGTTGGGACCTCACTGCCCACCAAACTATAGGCTATGTGCTTTCTAACCTCCAGCTCATCCACAAGCACCTCGATGTGCTACGTCAGGAATAATTGTTTTCTTGGTTTTCCTCTCAGTCATTGCCATGATTTACAGTAAAGAACTACTGATCAGCCGGCTCATGTCTATGCATTAGCATTAATGAGCTGCTTTGCATTGATTATTTATGGATGAATGTGGGTGTGTAGAAGGTGAGATATGAGGCTGGTACACATTTGGACAATTCCAAGTTGATTTGGGATTATGAATGAAATTGCATGCTGGCAAGCATACACATGGTTTAATAAATCAGAATATCTTTGGGCATATGTACATTTCCTCATTTGTACATTTGTACATTTAGTGTGGATTCTCTAAAGAGTTTAAAATAATAAAACAACTTCTGATCAATCCACTATCAATTTCAGATGAGAAATAACAGCTTCTGGTTTGGTCCCTGCTGTAAACATCCTTTATGCAGGTTAGAGCAGCTCCTATAGTGTGTTCAGCTTAACGAACCACTCTTTGCAGGGCTTTGCAGTCCTGTTTGGTGCTGGTTCTGTACCAGTGTTATTCCCTGTCAGGATGCTCTTAATGATGCAGGAGTAGAAATTCTTGAGTATTTTAAGGAATACCTGCAATTTCATCAAGTGTCTGAAATTAAACAGTCCCTGCCTTGCCTTTCCTACCACTGACTCAGTATGCAGCACCCAGGTCAGGCCCTCAATGATTTGGACACCAAGGTATTTGAAGCCTTCTGCTCTCTCCTCTGAGGACCCATTTGATATTAATAAGGGAAGCATAGTTCTTTTGCCGCTTCTTCCCATAATCCACTATCATCTCCTTAGTTTTGCTGACGTTCAGGAGGTTGTTGTCCTGACACCAGCACTTAAATCTGAAATAACTAAAACTGAGGAGTCACCTCTGTCTGCAGCAAGCAAAAGGTCGTTAGTAACCTTAACAAGAGCTGTCTTAGTACTATGAAGTGCTCTAAAACCAGACTGAAATTTGTTAAAAACATTGTTATTATTCATAAAAGATACCAGTTGTGAGGAAATTACTAAACAATAACCAAGTAGTTTTATATTCCTAAACTTGATAGGTACAGGAAACATCAGTCCTGTGAATTTTTTTTGGAAGCTGACAAATTATTCATTTTGTCAAGTACTAAGGCTTGTTGAATTGGTCACTTTATTGGTCATGAAGGTCAATTATTACAAACTACATTATGTGTGCCCAAAGATTAAACAAGACATATATCAGAGAAAACCTTGTAATTCTCCATGCACTATCAAGTGTCAACTATGTTAACTATCAAGCTCATACCTTATTACCAAAACCACATTTAATGGCATGTTTGTTTGTCAGTGTGCTGTGGAAAGTTGTGTCTGTAGTAGACTTTGGCATCAGTGTTGATTTTTTTTAATTTTTTTTATCATCGCTGCTTATTACTCCCATTTGTCTGTCCCTCAGTCTGTTAAGGCTGGCCCAAGGTGTTGGACTATAGCATGGCTGATAAAAGAGTTTCAAACATCCCCCCTCACTTGTGTCTGTTTGTGAGGGAGAGAGAAAAGTGAGTGGCAACTCATGGACTAGTTGATGCCCTCCCAGATAGTTTATACTTGTCTTTAAAATACCCTAGTGAAAATGTACCTGTAGGAAGATGACTCTGATTTAACCGTAGAGAAGGCCGTCTAACTGCCTGTTGGCAGCAGGTCTTCTTTCTTTCTTTCTTTCTTTCTTTCTTTCTTTCTGTGGTAATAGGAGCCTCAGTGATGTCAGTTTGGCTGAGGTGAATTACGGCAGTCAAAGTTCAGGACCTCTGAAGTGAGAACAGATACAGTGGACACTTTAAACTCAGACGTCCTGCTGTGTGTATGTGTGTGTTGTAGCTACACATCTGTTTAAGCGTGTGTGTTACTGTCAACCTCTACCTTGGAAAGAACTGTGTTATCAGAGCATTTAGGGGAGTTTCTCAACCACTGCACTGCAAACAATATATGGTCATGTAGTGTTTAGTTACATAAGATAAGATAAGATAAGATAAGATAAGATAAGATAAGATATCAATTCAATCAATCAATTTTATTTATAAAGCCCAATATCACAAATCACAATTTGCCTCACA